GCGAAATCAGACGCGCTCGTTTTCTCAGACGCTTGCAGAAAAAGGCTTACCAAAACAAAGTTACTGGGTTAATCTTTTTCACGTTTCCTTGGTTGGTAGATGCACCGGGGACCTGATTATAGCACTTAAAACCTGGACAAGTCAGATTTTCATGATATGTCACCTTTAAGAGACAACATTAATCGAGCTCTACAGATCTTATTATCGTGTGTTTGAGAGTTTTGATTTTAGCACTGTCTGCATATTTTCCAAACATATAAATAAATACGTGATTATTTATTGAAATGATTATTCATCACTGCTATAATAATGAAGTTAGCATAGATGTATTAAAAGAAATTCCTGTCATCTGTAACAATACTTGCTGAATTGACTATTTTTCTGCTGTATTAATAAGCACGTTACAGTTATACCACACCTCCATCCTGAGATGTTCTGTCCTCAGTAGAGGACATTATATTTTAGTGAATTTCTCTGAGAACGTGCATGTCACAGTGTTCAGTCTGGATGTCCTGTACAGAGCACATCCAGGGCTTTTCAGAGATATTTCAGAGAATTTCACCATGAACACTCACTCCCTCTCCTTGGTCTTTAAAAATGGAATATTTTAGTGACTTTCTCTGAGACCGTGCATGCCATAGTTTTAAGTCTGGATGTCCTGTAAAGAGCACATTCAGGGTTTTTCAGATATACCAAATGATTGGAAGTTTCACCATGACCACTCCATCTCCTTGGGCTTTAAACAAAAAAAAAGCTAACAATTTAGTTATCAAATGTAACACTCTTATGGAAATATGATAATATTTTGTAATTATCATTTAAATCTGACTAATTTTTAAACTGTTTGTCATAAATCAACATCTCAGGAAAATGTTACGGGGTTTCAAATCAAAATATGACTTTCTGTTATGAAACGGGACATCGATTTCATACATGTCCACTGTAGAGGACACCAGGACTAAAGGTGTGTTTATTACGCATTTTGGGAGACAGAGCGAATAGGGAAAGAAATTATATTTCTATATTCCTATGAAATATTAGATATTATTATGAAAATCTTGGCCATTATTACTCCCATGCTTATTACACTTTTTTTTTTCTTTACATGTTGGCCCAAGAACACATTAATATGCAAATTAGATACAGTATATAGATACATTGTATATAATGGGAAAACCCTCTTATGGCCATTTTACACACACACACACACACTGCATAAAGCAAAATGGTATATCAAATCATCCATATCTTTGTTATATCTTTCATAACATAGTTGAGAATCAAAGTTTGCTATCAAAAAATCCTGAAACCTAAAAACGTATTGATGTTATGCCTATTCATGTTCATTCATGTCTTTTTATTTTTTTTAAATTGAGTCGTGGTGTCCTCTACAGAGGGCATAGCATAAGAATAAAATGGCATTTTTCAAAATTGTTAATTTTATTTTTTCTTATGCTGTAAACAATGTAATGACATGAAAAAATACAAAATTCACAAAACTTTTTTTTCTGGGTCTCAGGCGGCTTTAGCAGAGTATACTGTCATATGGCATATAGCATATCATAACGCCCTAGGGTTTATCACTAGTTATGCAGCGACAGGTGCCTCATTATGTATTTAAGGAAAGATGTTAAATCGATTTGTCCTGCTGTAATTGAGATGTTTTATGAATGTGTGTGTTACAGAAAGAGACGAGTAGTGCTCTGACTCACGCCGGAGCCCATCTGGATCTGTCTGCCTTCTCTTCCTGGGAGGTCGGTTTCTTTTGGTCTTGTCTGCTACAAATGTGACTTTATTTTTACTTCATTTTATTTCCTGTTTTCCCTGTTAGTCATGTTTTCTTTAATGTTGTCTGATTGCCACAGGAGCTGGCATCTCTGGGTCTGGACAGATTGAAGTCCGCTCTCATGGCTTTAGGTCTCAAATGTGGAGGGTGAGTGTGAACACACTGTCCTGTGCATGTTGCTCTCGCTTTAACTGTAGTTTCACATTTAACCGGATTACAAATAAAGCATTCAGAGAGCTGGCAGTCCCTGATTCTCGAGTCTGTATGTAATCTCCAGATGTGTGATTGTTGTGTGTTTGTATTCACTGTAGCACACTAGAAGAGAGAGCCCAGCGTCTGTTCAGCACTAAAGGCAAATCCTTGGAGGCACTGGACCCCTCACTGTTTGCCAAAAACCCAAAAGCCAAGGGACCGAAGAAGTAAGCCTATCTCCATTTGGGAAACTATATAAATACAATGCAGTCAAATTTAAAGGGTTAGTTCACCCAAAAATGAAAATTGGTCCGTAAATTACTCGCCCTCAAGTCATCCTAGGTGTATATGATTTTCTTCTTTCAGACGAATCCAGTCGGAGTTATGTTAAAAATTGTCTTTGATCTTTCAAGCTGTTTAATGGCAGTCAGCGGGTGTTGCATGCTTCAGTCCAAAAAGTGAAAAAGTGCATCCATTCATAATAAAATGTGCCCCCTTTAATGTAGCTTGCGCCAACAGTTGTACACAGAAGCAGCTCCGGGCTGATGATGTATGAGGTCAGTGTTGCGCATGCGCCGGTGAGTCTCGTGAAAACCAACGTTTGTTAACAGGAGCAAAGGAAGCAAAGTTTCCTTACTTTAGCAAAGGAAAACCAGTCTCCTCTTGGCTTATATCGAAATCCTCCGAAAACCTCCATACCTCATGCACCCGGAGCTGCTTCCGTGTACAACAGTGAGCGCAAGCTAGATTCAAGTGATTATTACGTTTTAAATGTGGTTATTTTTCTTACAAAAACGCATCGATTCGCTACAGGAGGCCTTTGTTCACCCCCCGGAGCTGTGTGAGGCAGTTTTTATTAAGGATGGGCGCTTTTTATTTCACTTCTTTTGGACTGAAGCAATGCAACACCCTCTGAGTGCCATTAAACAGCTTGGAAGATCAAAGTCAATTTTTAATACAACTCTGACTGGATTTGTCTGAAAGAAGAAAGTCATATACACCTAGGATGCCTTGAGGGTGAGTAATTTATGGGCTAATTTTCATTTTTGGGTGAACTAACTCTTTAAATTAGTGTAGAAACAAGTGATTTATTAAAATATATTTGTTTTCTTTTAAATGCAGCTCAATCTTGTATTCATTATTTGCCAACTATCTATCTATCTATCTTGTGTCTGCAGAGACTCGGAGCGCAACAAGGAATCTGCTTTTCTTGAAGCTCAGATTTATGAATATGTGGAGATCCTGGGGGTAAGCAGTCTGCCTGCTGTAGTTTTATGTTTAGTCTCCTCTCATTTCACATTTATGCTATCATTTTGCAATATATATGCACTGATCAGCCACAACATTAAAACCACTGACAGGTGAAGTGAATAGCATTGACTTTATCATTACAGTGACACTTTTAGTAAATGACCTTCAGAATAATGTACTTTAGTGTTTCTCTACTAATTGTCTATTTTAGGAATGGTTGTGGTTTGGTGACGTTGGTGTGAATTGTCTGCAGTGATGTTGCTGAAGCTGATGTGTTGTGTGTGTGCTGCAGGAGCAAAGGCAGCTGACGCATGAGAACGTCCAGAGGAAGCAGGCGCGCACAGGAGAGGAGCGTGACGAGGAAGATGAAGAGCAGCCCAGCGAGAGCGAGAGTGAAGACGAAGATAATGAGATCATATACAACCCTAAAAACCTGCCGCTTGGCTGGGACGGAAAGGTACGCTTGCTTTTTATTACGGTGGTTCGGTTTGGTGAAAGGAAATCGGTTTATTAGAGATTAAAACGGAAAGCTGTTTTTTAAATTCAAATTAGACATTGATGGTCTGATTGATGGGTAATTGATGCCAGTCCCTCCAAAACATAATGAACAGTATTAGTAAATAACATCTCAGTTTTTGTAGCATTTTAAGTCGTTTCTATATCACACAGCTCTAGAGGTAAAAGACTGATAGTGTGTCATTAACCTTGTCTTTAGCCGATTCCATACTGGCTGTACAAGCTGCACGGCCTGAACATCAATTACAACTGTGAGATCTGTGGCAATTACACATACAGAGGACCCAAAGCCTTCCAGAGACACTTTGCAGTAAGTTTGCAAGAAAAATTCTCATTCCAGAATTTGTAGTTATGGAGCAGGATCTCAATTGTTTCTATTTTAGCTAGTAATTTTAAAGTCTTTCAGTGCAGTTTCCACATGTTCTGTGGCACCTTTACTAGGGCTGTGACGATGAATCGATGCAGAATAGATTCGTGGATGGATTCTGAGATCTTCCGAATGCATCGCGATTCTCTCTGGAATCGATTCTGAGTTTAGATTCTAACAGCAGATGGCGCTCTACTCTAGTTTTTATCCACACACTCAAATGCTCACATAGAAGAGTGCTGAAGAGTCGTGCAACTTCACCTCGGCTCAGAATGCTTTTATGACGCCAGATTAATGTAAACACAGTCCACTGTGAACACCCTTGTGATTCGCTTCAAACTTTTTGAATTTTATGAATGATTATTTTAGGTTCAAGTGTGTGGAAGGATTTGGAAACCAGCAGAGTACGGCTGTTTCTAAAGCATCTGCTGTTCAAAACTAAGCTCAGAATCGTCTCGGGAAAGAATCGCGATGCATTCGGAAAATCTCAGAATCGATGCGGGATCATTTCTCGATTCACGATGCATCGATTTATTTTCCAAGCCCTAACCTTTACTGGGAGTAATCATGAGAGGACTGCTCGTAACGTGAAATAAAATACCTGCTAGTATGTTACACCGTAACAAATGTAAATGAACAAATGTTTGTCATTTTACTCTTGTGCTGTATTGAAAAGCCTATGACACCTTTGGTGTTCCCAGTCAAAAATCAGTTTTCTGTGTTGCAGGAGTGGCGTCACGCTCATGGCATGCGCTGTCTGGGCATTCCTAACACAGCCCACTTTGCCAACGTTACTCAGATTGAGGATGCAGTATCCCGTGAGTACACCAATTCATCAAAGATATACATAAATCACCCAATTATTGCTAAGAGGATTGATAGTTTTGTTGTAGTTTGACATTACTAGCCTTAAACCCAAATTCATGACACTACAAGGCATTTGTTAATGCTGATATTTCTACCAATATCTATTTTCATAATCAATTAATTTAAAAAAGGTAATGAGGTTTATAATCGTCCCCATCTGACAGCATGTAATTGTCGATGCTAAGAGTTGACTCGCTGTTGAAGGCTGATGTCCATTTGAAACCATTGCCTGTAATAACATTGGTGTCAGTTATTCATTAAATCATTTTTGATGCATGTTGTTTGAATAACACAAAAGGCACACGTTTTGGAAATTGACCCTCATGGTAACGGTCCTTGCACTTCAAATGAGTTTCTCTCTTTTCTCTGGAATAGTCTGGTCAAAGCTGAAGTCACAGAAAGCATTAGAGCGCTGGCAGCCAGACACAGAGGTGAGTTATTCTCAAACGCATTCAGTAGTCTGACATTACGCTGAGTGAAGCCACATTCAGCTGTACAGCTCTGTTCTGACTGAAGCGGCAGGTTTAGCCAGTGTTAATCAGCTGTTCAAACTCTGCTTCGGCTGCTTGATATGTTCCTTGTTGGAGAGTGAAAGATTAGTGACGTTTTCAAGTGGGAATAAATCTTGAGACTGGATGTTTATGAGTTCAGAAACGAAATATATATATATATATTTTTTATCTTGCAGGAGGAATATGAAGACTCCAGCGGAAACGTGGTCAACAAGAAGACTTATGAGGATCTGAAACGCCAGGGGCTTCTGTAGCATGACAAACAAGATCTCTGAACACAAAATACTCGCAGTGTAAATACTGAGGCAGAAATGTGATAGTTTAGTCTTCTTGTCTTTTCCAGTTTGTGAGAAATGTGATTGGTCTTTTTGAAAGCGATCAGTTTGTACATTTTTATTACTATTTGATTATTCCCAATTTTTCTCATTTGGTGTCTTAAATATGAGACTTTCATTAATCAATAAATTGTAGTACATTTTGTGAAAAATTATTCCTTGTGCAGCATGCTGTTTTTAACCAGTCTGGAGACTTTTAAGCCTGCTGCACAATAAAATCAGACCGTGATATGGTTTTACTTTTATCTGTCATTTCAGTAAAAAATATTCTGACCCCTTCATTTTTCCCAACATTTTATGTTGCAGCCTCCACATCAGTCTACACTCCATACATCATAATGACAGCGTAAAATCAGATGTGTGATGACTGCAAATGAAAAAAGACTGTATTAAAGAAAAAAACAAAACTTTTTTTTAGATAAACACAAAAATGCAGATTTACACTGTGTATCAAAGTGAATTCCACCCTGTTAAATGTCCTCTGTGTGATGAGAGCACAGCTGTATCAATAGATCTCTTCGGGATAACAGCATCTTGCCAGATCTTTCCCCAAAAGATTATAAAAGTACAAACCCATTCTGCCTTTTGCCAAGATTTTTTTGATGCATCGAAAACTTTTTTTGTGACTCTTGAAGGATTCAAATAGTCAGTTTGGTTATAGAGTGAGATTTTAACCATTGTTTCCATTAGACAAACGGTGTAGTTTACCAATTTTACAATCAACATTAGATTAATCTGATGAAAAAGTATTTGCTCAGTTATATTGTATATGTGACCCTGGACCACAAAACCAGTCATAAGGGTCAATTTTTCGAAGTTGAAATTGAGCTACAACTATTTGAAAATCTGGAATCTGAGGGTGCAAAAAAATCTAAATATTGAGAAAATCATCTTTAAAGTTGTCAAAATGAAGTTCTTAGCAATGCATATTACTAATCAAAAATTAAGTTTTGATATATTTACGGTAGGAAATTTACAAAATATCTTCATGGAACATGATCTTTACTTAATATCCTAATGATTTTTGACATAAAAGAAAAGTCGATAATGTTGACCCATACAATGTATTTTTGGCTATTTCTACAAATATACCCCAGCGACTTCAGACTGCTTTTGTGCTCCAGGGTCACAAATGTGTCAATGACAGAAGTTCAGCTGTAGTTTTGTTTTAAAGATTAAAAAACAGAAGACCAACACTATCTTACTGTTTCTCATTTGTAAGCCACTTCAGATAAAAGTGCATGGTAAATCTACATGAAATATTAATATTCTGATGTATTACATAGCTCAGAGTTGGCATATAACAGTACAACGTGTAAAATCTCTACATTTTATTTACTTCTAATAGTTCTGCTGATGATTGACGACCATAAACATTGAACCCAGGATAGAGCGGCTGAGTGAATGTGGTCTGGACTGTGGATGAGGCTCGTTGTGTCAGAGACGCTGTAGAAGCACAGAGTTCCTGCACTGTGATCCACATACACTCCTATTCTCCTGCAGCTGGAGGGAACAGGGAGTTTAGTCTGCTTGTTATTGTGCCAGAATGAGAAACTGGAGGGAGAGCAGGACAAACTCCAGGACTGATCATTAAATCCAAAGAAACACTCATAACCCGATCCCTTCCTGCTGATGCTCTTATATGACACTGATATACCAACACCATATACAGATCCACTCCACTCCAGCTCCCAGCAGCAGCGTCCACACACACACTCTCTGTACACAGCACCTGAGGATAATAATCAAATCTGTCCGGATGATCAGGATACGGCTGGACTGTGCCAGTGCAAGTCACCACTCTATTCCCTTCAGACAGAATGAGGCATTTATGTGCAGTGTTTGGATCCAGAGTGAGCTGATGGGAATCTGATGGAGAGAAAGAAAAAAAAAACAAAACACTGGAATCAGGAGTTGTTGAAAAGTTATTTTTTGTTTTAAAAAGATTGGTATGATCTATTCACTTGATCTGTCAAAATCTATGGAGAGAATTTTGTGCCAATATTCATCAAACAAATCCAGCGTTTTGTAAATAAACACAATCTGCTTTGCAAAGAAAAACTCAACTTTCAAACAAACGCAAAGTGATTTGCAAATACAAAACTCCACTTGAGAGAAAATGCAGAGGTATGGACAAATATATGTATTGTGTGTTACAACTGTGAGACTCATTTGACTTTTTATGAGGAAACTTGACGATTTTCTCACAAATGCTGCAGGCAGATTTTCTCACAAATGCGTGCAGGCAGATTTTCTCACAAATGCGTGCAGGCAGATTTTCTCACAAATGCGTGCAGGCAGATTTTCTCACAAATGCGTGCAGGCAGATTTTCTCACAAATGCGTGCAGGCAGATTTTCTCACAAATGCGTGCAGGCAGATTTTCTCACAAATGCGTGCAGGCAGATTTTCTCACAAATGCGTGCAGGCAGATTTTCTCACAAATGCGTGCAGGCAGATTTTCTCACAAATGCGTGCAGGCAGATTTTCTCACAAATGCGTGCAGGCAGATTTTCTCACAAATGCGTGCAGGCAGATTTTCTCACAAATGCGTGCAGGCAGATTTTCTCACAAATGCGTGCAGGCAGATTTTCTCACAAATGCGTGCAGGCAGATTTTCTCACAAATTCAATTGAGCAACTTTCTTTTCTAAAAACAGCAGATGGTGCTGTCGGTCATTTTATGCTAGTTTCCCGAGACCCGAAACACCTGTTTATCTTTTCAGACCAACATGAGTGGGGAACAGGTGAGTTTCTCTTACTATATCTATAATTAACCATATAGATGTTTTCACAAAGCGACCCTACTACAGTGTCAGTGAAATTCACAGTAAGTGCTGTAAAGTTGTTAACATGATTGATTAGTTCAAAAATCAGTAGTAACATTTAAACTAAACATTTAACTAGGCAGTCTTTCCCTATAAAAACTGATCAATTCTCCGTACCTCTTATCCTCTGTTGGATCGCGGGATATAGAATATATACATATGTTGATACAATTGTTCAACATTCAAAACAATGCAGGGGTATAACAATATATCGTGTCACAATATATTGTAAAACTAAAATGCAAATGTATTATGGATAGCGTCAATATTGTGTACCAAAAATGAAAGCTTAGACAATGTAATTTAGTATCAGATATAGTGATATCACGCAAGAGGTCATTAATTATTAATAAAAAATTATTGTAACACTGTGCAATCATTTGTGTCTAAAATAATTATGTATTTTTTAGCTTAGCAAAATGATGAATAATTTCTCTTCTGGTGTCACTCTTGTCCTGTGAATTGGGGAGAAGGATCAAGTTCACACTGATATAATACTAAATTCAGGATGTCATTTACCTTTATAAAGGCCAATATTTTTTTTTTTTACCTTATTAAATGTATGCGTCATCTTTCAAGTCAAATTCTTACAATTAATCAAGAAATGTAATACACTACAGGGCTGTTACCGATCAAATTAAATAATTACAAAATTACAACAGCAATAAATAATGCTACATCATGTTAATTTTTACCCCAGTATGTTTTTTCTGTGAGTTTCTTTATGTGTGCCGTTATGCTCATTTGATTTGATTTCTCCATGAAAGTCTCTCACAGAGACAGACAGCATGAGCCTCAACAGCGTGACATTGATAATAGAAATACACTATCCATTATCAATCGCTGTTTAAGCTGAATGTAATAAAATCAGAAGAATCATTCGCGCGTTTTGATGCGTGATTATATTTTGTCACTTAAGTTTTAATCAGGCTATTAGTCCTGTCGGGCAAGTACAATTCTCAAGCCATTTTTCAGTAAACTTGCATGAACCCATTTAAAGTAGTTCGGAGGCTGGACAGCGAGCTGGTGTTCGACTGTATTCTGTAAACGCAATTCTCTCTGATGACGTGGTAACTACAGCGGGGGGGGAAAGTCCTCTGGATGGACACTCACTGGGTCCGTTAGACTGGAGACATTTTTGTGGTAATGTGACCAAACATATTTAAGACCTACTGAATCTGAATTTAAGACATTTTAAGACTTTTTAAGGCCTTATTTTAGGAAAAATTTATTTAAGACTTTTTAAGGACCTGCGGCCACCCTGTGAATATTGGCACAAAATTCGCTCCATAAAAATCTCTTATTCTCACCCTGAAAGTTTGTATCTGGAAAGTTTGGTGTCCAGATTTCCCCTCTCTTATGTCTATCTCAACTTTCTTTAATATTTATCTCTTTTGTGTAGCTGAATTATAAAAGCTCTTAGCTCAGATTGAAAAAAGTGCTTTTTCGAAAATGGATTCATTTTAGTTAGTTATGTGGTTTTTTTTTTTACATAAACACAAATACAAACACATTCACATACAGGCCTACAGTTCACACACGAGCACAGAAACCTGTAGATATATGGACAGAACAGACAGACACGTCAAGCTGCATTTTTAGAAATGCACTGGATTTGTCATTGTAATGTTGCTATGGTGATGATCAGTCATTATTAAAGGGGTCCTATGATGCGATTTCAAATGTTCCTTTCTCTTTGGAGTGTTACAAGCTCTTGGTGCATAAAGAGGATCTGTAAAGTTGCAAAGACTAAAGTCTCAAATCCAAAGAGATATTCTTTATAAAAGTTAAGAGTCAACCACACCTGCCTAAAACGGCTCGTTCTAACACGCCCCCACATACCTACGTCACGATGTGGGAAGGTTTGCATAACGCCGCCCAAATTCTTTCACACAAAGAAAGAAGACGTAACTTTTATTCTCGCTGTAGTAACTCCGGCCGGACAGGGCATCACAGTATGGTAGGGGCGTAACATTTCCGTCACACGCTTGAGGTATTCGGCCAATCACAACGCACTGGATAGCTGGCCAATCACAGCACACCTTGCTTTTCAGACCGATGAGCTTTGTAAAAATCGACGCGTTTCAGAAAGGCGGGGCATAGAGGAGAAACAATAATGTACAGTATGTGGAAAATAATGTGTTTTTTGAACCTTAAACCACATAAACACATTTCATTACACCAAATACACAAAATAATGTTCTTTTTAGCAACGTCATATGACCCCTTTAAAGTATGAGTGAACTATTGGGCATCACATTAATATCACATTATGTATTTGTATTTTGGTTTGTAGTGGTTTTAAGAAAGTAACTTGAAATGAAACGAGT